GACGTCTCAAGTTTCATGATGTTTAATGAATGTTCACAAACCATTCGTACACTCTTCATCCCTCTCCCCTTCCTCCCACCTCTCCACTTCCTCCTCTTCCCCCTGCTTCCCTTCTTCCATCACCTCCTCCCCTCTTCCTCCTTCACCTCCTACCCTCTCTCCCTGTCCTCCTCCAGTTCCACACCCCCCTCTCCTCGTCCCCTGTTCACTTCGCTTCCTCTCCCTCCCCCTCTGCCTCCCCCTCCTCTCCCTCTCCCTCCCCGTCTCCCTCCGGCTCGTTCGAGGCCCTCTTGTTCACCCTCAGTCTCCCTTCCTCCAAGTTCCACTCTTCGTTCGCCACCTTCTCCACGAACTCGCGGTTGTGCGAGATGGTCAGCACGGCCCCTCGGAAACTCTGGATCGCCTTCACCAGCGCCTTGAACGTCTCCTTGTCCAGGAAGTTCGTCGGCTCGTCCAGGCAGATCAAGTGAGGACGAGTCCACATAGCAGCAGCAAGCACCACCCTGCTCTTCTGCCCTCCTGAGAAACCCTTGATCTTGGACGTCGCCAGCTCCTCCTCGATCCCGTAGTTCTGCAGGTGGAGCTTGACCTCGGTCTCGTGGAGGGGGCGGAGCTCGACGCCGGACGCCAGCACCTTGAGCTTCTCGTCATAGTTCTTGATCAGCTTGCTGACGTACGCGTCCTTGCACGCCAGGTTGCTCATGGGTTCCCAGGTCTCATCGTCCCTCCTCCCGGTCCTCTTGACCTGGTAGCACAGCTGCCCTCCCCGCACGGCCCTCCCTGTGATCTCGCAGATGCTCCCCTCTTCGCCATCATCGCCTTGTCCTCCTCCGTCAGCGCAAACGTCACCATCTTTGCGAGCTCATGGTCCCTCCCCTGGAAGAAGCGCTGCTGGATGTAAGTGACGGGGGTAAGGAGCAGGTTCTCCTCCAGGTGGTGCATCGAGTGCTGCGCGATGTAGGAGACGCGCAGGTTCTGATGCCTCCAGATCTCTCCTCGGTTGTTCGGGTGGCTAGTAAGCTCCAGGTCCCCGACGAGCAGCTTCAGCAGCGTCGTCTTCCCCGCCCCGTTCCTCCCCAGCAGCGCAACCCTGCTCGTCATCGACATCTTCAGCGAGATCTCCTTGAGGATCTGCCTGTCCGTCCCCTCGTACTGGAAGCTGGCATCTGTGAAGCGGATAATCGGCTTCAGCCTGCTCTTCACCCCCTGGAGCGGGCCGGGATCGGGGAACCGGATCAGGGCCTCGTACTCTCCCGTCAGCTCGGCGAAGTAGGACTGAGTTCGCCTCTTGGGCAGGGCCGAGATCACTTCCGGGCGCTTCGACGCGAACTCCTTCCATCCTCCCTCATAGTAAGCGAGCTGCAGGTCTGCGAAATGGATGATATCGCTCGCAACCTTGTCCAGGAACGAGTAGTCGTGGCTGACTATGACGCAGGTCGTGTCTCTCAGCTCGTTGAGGTACTTGACAAGCCATCCCACCGAGTCCACGTCGAGATGGTTCGTCGGCTCGTCCAGCAGCAGCAAGTCTGCCTTGCTCAGAATGGCTCCTGCCAGCGCCAGCTTCATCCTCCACCCCCCCGAGAGCTCCAGCACCGCCGAGTTCTGCATCTTGTCAGTGAAACCCATCTCGCCGAGGACACGGGAGATCTCTCCCACACTACTCGCTGAGTTCGCGTCTTTCCCCTGCTGCTCCATGTAGTTCAGCACTGACTGGTTGTCGTTGGCAAGAATCTCATGCCGAACAAAAACACACTTGATGTCGGTCGGGAAGCCCGCAATGTCCCTCGCCGAGATCCTCGTCATCAGTGTCGTCTTCCCCACACCGTTCTGACCGACGATGCCGTACGTGCGTCCCCTCGCCAACTTCAAGGAGCACGCGCGAAGGAGCGACTTTCCAGCGTATGCGAGGATGATGCCGTCACACTTCACTAGCCAGTCCACGCTCGTGCTCGCGTTCTGACCTTCTACTTCACCTCCTCCTCCCAGCGCGAGAGAGAAGATCTCGTCACACAGCTGGTCCAGAGCTGAAGAATCCAGACATCCTTCGATCAGAGGCTCGAGAGCATCTTTGATCTCAGGGACGACGACGTCTTTGGGCTCATTCTTGGTGTCCTCCAACACTCCGCTCACGGCTTCAGCTGCATACTCCACAACTTCCTCTGGGATCGAGTCAAACTTCGACAGAGCTTTCTTCACGAACACGATAGCGCTCATTGATCCAGACTAGTCGGTGCTGAACTTGTGCAAACCACAACAAGAGCGCCTGTCGTGACGTGTCATTCAAAATTGGCCGGCCGTGCATTTCATGCAATGCATCTAAGACTGCCTTCTTCGTTCTCCTACCCCATCCTAGACATCAATTCAGACCTGCAAGTACTATCCTAGCTTGACTTCACGGTTCTCCAATACCCCTCACTATCTTGGCCTCTTCGCCAAGGATATTGCTTACGCTCTGCCACTACCCCTGCAATCAAACTTTCCTACCTTGACCGTCACCTATGCTCTGCTCATACTCTTGCTCACTTCGTTGCCTTCTGCGCTCTTCTCATTCGTTCTCTCCTCTCCTCTCCTCTCCTCTCCTCTCCTCTCCTCTCCTCTCCTCTCCTCTCTCCCTTCCATTCTGCATCCGCTGCCCAGACCCTTCCCGCATGTTCCCTGCGGCCTCATGCCGTGTTCCAACCCGCCTCAGGTATCTTGGGAAAATATTTCACTTTTAATGGGGGAAAATGTTTTGATAATTTTAAAATTTAAAAGTGAAATTTCCTATAGGATCTCATTCATTCGGTCACGTCCACCTGAGAAAATTTTGGAACATAAATGAAATTGTTTTATTAAATTTGAAATATGACCACAAGTCCAAGAATACTTTCACCAGCCATCCACCATTGAAGGACAAACCAAAGCGAAAATGGCTGCTGAGTATGGGCAGGTAAAGCCTTCTCGTCCTCGTCTGTCTCTTGTTCTTCGCTAATTAAACTGCCACCACTCCTTCCCTCTTTCGCTCCTCTTTGCTCTGCTGAATGATAAAACATCCATCTACACCATCACGTCACCTTCAATGCAATCGTTTTCATCGTGCTGATACACTCCTCTTCCTTCCCTTTTTCATCTCCATGGTACTCTTCCGAATGATGTTTGTAGCTGCTAGTGACTACTCCCCTCACCACCCTTCTCTGCGTATCATTATCTGCTTTGTCTTTGTCGTACATCTTCACTCTCATTCCAACTGTATCCCTCGTAAACCCTTCACTGCCACTCCAACCTCCCTCTCATTCATTTACCCTTCACGCTCCCCGCCATCCCTCTCCTTCCCTGGATGCAGACTACGACCTCAAGGGACCTGACTCACTTCCTACAGTGGAGAGATGGTATCTGCGATTGTTTTGGCCCTACGGGTTGCTCCTCCTTCTGTCTTGCGTGTTGGTACCCGTGCTGCACGCCATGCATCTTTGCGAAAATTGCCAGCCGTTTAGACTGGTGAGCTCATGACACGACGTTGCCAACCTCCGTGAATTGTTTGATAACAGGCAAGTCAATGCCCTCCGTTCGTTCGGGCAGACAACTTTCAAGCAATGGCTCAGAGCTCTTTCTGCGCTTGCAATCGTGTACATGATAGCATACTACAGCTACGAGCAGCTTTCGGCCATGGCAACAGCGCAGTTTCACAAGGATATTTCGTACTATGGAAACTACTACAGTTACCAAGCATCTGGTCGTTGGTATCTGATATCATTTCGCATTCTGATTCTTTTCTGCAACAGAGTATACATCCAGGCTGCTGACCTACACAGAGATCTTTGATATCATCACATTCGTTTGTTCTGCCGTCTTCGTAATTCTAGCCCTCGTTCTCAGAAAGATGGTACCTCACCCTGTGCCTTATCAAGACCCTTACATGCTTGTCTTCTAGGTGAGAAGGCGATATTTGATTCCAACCACATGCGACGATGGTACCTATGGCGAGAATTCGTGAGTGACGTGATGGTGGCGGAATGCATTTCTGATGAAGTCTGGCAGATTCTGCGGAGCTGTCGAAGACATTGCCGTCTCGTTCTTCTGCTGGACTTGCTCTCTAGCACAGGTCATCCAGTCCGGACTCGCTCAGTGTGTTGCGCTCACGGTGAAAGTTCAGATGGCCAGGCACACTGACGCTGTCGGAACCGACTGCGACCCCATGAGTGATCCCGGTCCCATCGACACGACTCACATCGTAAGTCGAGAGCGCGTGCTACCTGCTTGCATATGACCTTGTCTCTCTCTGACGATGTTGTCGGCAGCCCACCGGCATCCCAGGGGTCCAGCCCATGAGCACGCAGCCTGTGTTTGTGAATGGGATGTACAACCCGAGCACGGGTCACTACCAACTCCACGATGAGGTATGTGCTGTCGGTGGATTGGCGACGAGGGTAACGCTTCCTCGCACGTCAGCCGATCGTTCATGCTGATTTCAACCCGTCGAGCATCGAAGTGGGTCAGATTGTCACAAACCAGCACCATGTCGTAGCCAACGCATCCAGCGCAGGGCAGATGGTGAGGCCGCTTGAAGAGAGGTCGCACTGTGTTTGACTTTGTGGTTGTTCAGGAGGCAAACGACAACGAGCTGCCAACAGCCGTGCTGGTGCAAGAGGCTCGACTGCAGAAATAAGCTCCTGCCCTTGTCCAGAGGCGTTGGCCCAAGAGACTTGGGCGAGATTCGCATCTCGATAGGAGGCTTGTGATGTATTTTACTCTGAGGCAGCTTGGGCGTGAGGAGCCTTCGAGGCCGCATTTTTCGGTCATCCTGACTTTCGCAATACACAAAGGAAATCACGACTGTAGTAGATGTTGTTCCCGTCGACCTGGTAAGAGTCATCCACGCTGAATCACGGTATCAAGATGTACCGAACTCTCTTTCACGATCTCCAATCCTGTCACAACGAGCAAGGATGAGAAGCAAGTGCAGTAGGCCGCCATCTCATAAGGTACCTGCGTTCTTCACCAGCGTGCGAATGATGTCCGGCGAAGTGAAGCAAAACCCTTGAACCTGGATCGATCATCACTCAGCATCTCCCCCCGCAGCCACCGGGGCTCACGCTTGCTTCTTTCTGCTTGGCGAACCTCTTGAAACCTGGCTCGGTCGTGATGTTTGCCGTGTGGATCATCGCCCTTCCTTCGCTCTTCAGCGCTCGCCGGATCTCCTTGAGGTACTGGAAGATGGTGTGAGAGTCGCAGTGCCTGGGGAGAAGCATGCATCAGAAGCGCAGAGTCCTCCTCCCCTTCCTCACGGGAAGCAGTCGAAGGAATAGATGAAGTCGAACGTCTCAGTGCAATCCGCCGGCAGCTGAGCAGCCTCGAGGTAGTCAAAGGCTACCTTTCGCCCTGCTTCCAGCCCCAGCTCCTTGACCTTCTGCTTGGCCTTCCTCAGCATCTCCGAGCTAATGTCTGCACAGTGGAACTCGCCGCACGAAGGAATCACCCTGGACAAGGATGAGAGCAAGGACGAGACATCTCAGCCTCCCTCACTTCACAGCTACCCGCCCCCCTCCACATCCGATCTCCATAGCCTTGCAGCCTTGTAGGCAGTAGGGGAGGATGAACTCGTCGAGGACTTGCTGGAGGGAGTACCTGTCACTCCACTCGTCCCCAATGAACTCAAGATCCGCATCATTCCACTCCTCCCCAAGGTTGTCCGCCATCTTCCGCACCCACTCGCAGTCAGGCCTCCAGTCCTAGAGACGCAAGCACGACTCCGGTCACGAGCAGCGAGCGAGCAGCGGGAGGGGAGCAGAGGAGGAGGGAGTACCTTGGCATAGAGGTCCCACACCTTCCTGTTGGTCTCCACGTTCGACTCGCGGAAGGCGACGGAAGGAGCTAGAAGCTCGACTAGCTGGCGCGCCATGGAGGGGATGGGGGTGAGCGATGAGTACCCGTAGTTGTTACCGTTTTCTTTGTAAGAGAAAGGGGGTAGGGGTAGGAGGCCTTCGGAAGAACATGGAGATGGAAGAAGGCAGGAGCTGGGAGGGTGTGGGAGGGGAGCGCAGGATGTAGAGGAGACGAAGAGATGAAGAGGAGATAAAGTGTAGGAGGCGAGAAGTCAAGGGGAAGGGTGAGGAGGAGGAGGAAGAGGAGGAGGAGGAGGAGTGGTCAGGGATCTTGAGGAGACCGAGGAAGGGACAGGAACAGATCGTGACGGAGGGGGGGAGGAGACCAGAACAGAGCGATTGGTAGGAGGGAGAGGTGAACAGTGAAGTTAGAAGTTGGTCAAGGATCTGTGCATAACGAGGCGGGGGCGAGTGACGTGAACTCGTTCCAGAAGGAGGCGCATATCTGAAGATGCTGCAGGTCAACGATCATGGGAATTTCACGCTAGTCACCCTCAAACCCCGTCAAGATTGTAAGCTATGAGAGTCCTCAGCATCCTAGCCATCATTGCGCTGTGGTGGATCAGGGCTGGCGACTCCCTGGAAGGCGACCAGCCTGATACCCCTCACGGTGAGTCTGATGCCCCTTGCCGCACATGGCTGAAGGCCGTCTGTGACCCGCTGCTCCTGAATGCAGTCTCCGTCATCGTCATCGTGAGGAGGGACGCGGGAAACCTGAGGCTGTGCCTGCGATCGCTCAGGGAGTCGTTGGGAGGAGCAAGGCAGTTCGAGTGGGATGTCACAATGGTAGAGACAGAAGGCAGGAACGGAGACTTTTCCCTCCACGAGTCCTTCGCGCGAGCCGCTCGGCTGCTCCCCCATGTGACGAGCATCGCCAACAACCAAACAGAGGGCATCAGCGTCGTAGAGGCCATGGAGCGAGGAGCGAGGGTAGCTCCGGCGCATGCCAGCTACTTACTGTTCATGGATGCTTCTGTGGAGATGCAGGAGGGAGTGGTGGAGATCATGGTGGCGAAGTTGGAGGACGATCCTAGCATGGGGATCCTGGGCGTGAGGACTTTACAGCCGGACGGGAGGATAGTGCAGGAGGGAATCCGTGTGCAGTATGGACCGAGGAGGAGATGCCTGCAATCGCATACTCCGCAAGAGGACGCTGTCTACAGGAGGGGCAAAGTGGAGGATGAGGGAAAGGAGGGCTCCTCCGGGGGTGCGCTGCGCAGCAAGGTGCTCTGGGCGACCAACGAGTGGCAGGGGTACTATACGGACGAGGAGGAGGGAGGAAGGTTCGTTGAAGTTGATGCTGTGTCGGAGAGTTTGTTCATGGTCAGGAGGAACCTGTGGAGAGAGCTGGGAGGCATGAGGAAAGAGGAGCCGTCTTCTCTCGCCGTTGTTGACCTCTGCTTGCAAGCGACGGCCCTCCACCATCGGGTGGCCATGCTCAAATCACCGGCGCTGGTTGAGCTCGTGGGAGACGACGAGGATCGAGAGAAAGCAGCGTTCTCGTGCGCGCGGGACAGGAGAATCAGGGAGAGCCTCGGGGGAATCCCCTTCTCGGACGAGATGCAGTCGAGATGGGAGGCGAGGTTGGAAGGCAGGACGGAGCCGAGCCTGAAGGACATCCAGGTGCTGTGGAACATGGAGTGCGGGGAGGAACAGGTGCGAGGGCTGACGACGGAGGCTGTGAATCTGATCTCGGCGCTGAGGGACGAAGTGGAGATTGTTGTCCAGGTGTCGAACAAGAGGGAATGCGAGAAGGTCCTGCTAAGGAATTTCCCAGCCAGCATGGTAGGCGACATGGTCAGGGGGATGTACATGCCGATCAATCATGGCGGGAGGAAGGTACAGATCCTGCATCGAGACCCGGGGAGATACTCGCACTTCAAGTACGAGAGCTGGAGGGAGGGGGAGGGGAAGACCGTCATCGTGGGGAGGAGCATGTACGAGACGAGCAGCATCCCCAGCATGTGGGTGCGACCAGCTCTGTGCGAGGTCGACGAGATCTGGGTTCCCTCCTCCTTCAACGTCGAGACGTTCGAGTCGGCCGGGGTGCCAAGGAGCAAGTTGAGGGTGCTGAATGAGGCCACGGACACGGAGAGGCTGTTCCGTCCTCCTGCTCAGTCTCGTCCTCCTCCTGCCCACATCCTCCCTCCGTGCGAGGAGATGGGAGACGAGGTGTTCAAATTCCTCTCGGTGTTCAAGTGGGAGGAGAGGAAGGGATGGGACGCGCTGCTCTCGGCCTACTGGCTGGCGTTCGAGCGGGTGGACGACGTGTGCCTGTTCTTGCGGGTGAACATGGACGACAAGAACTTGAAGGAGTACGAGGCGCTGAGGGAGAAGCTCCGACGGCTGAAGTGCGAAGATCAGTTCTCCTCCTCCTCCTCCTCCTCCTCCTCCTCCTCCTCCTCCTCTCAGCACATGGAGGAGTGCAGGCTGGCTCCTGTCGTGATCGTCAACAAGACTTTCTCCTACAGCGAGCTTCCCTTCCTGTACCAGGCGGTCGACGCGTTCGTCCTGCCGTCAAGAGGAGAGGGCTGGGGGCTGCCCCTGCTCGAGGCCATGGCGACGGCTCTGCCGACTGTGGGGACGAACTGGAGCGGAAACACTGAGTTCATGAAGGAAGAAAACAGCTTCCTCCTCAACTACCAGCTGAGGAACGTCTCCTCCAGGAAGAAGTCCTCCTCCTCCTCCCCCCACCTCGCCTGGAGGGAGCAGGAGGAGGAGGAAGAGGCCAGGCACATGTGGGCGGAGCCATCGCTGGGCCACCTGGTAGAGATCCTGCAGCTGGTGCGAACAGACCCGGAGGAGCGAGGGAGGAGAGGGAGAGAGGGGAGGAGGCAGGTTGCGAGCAGGTTCTCCCATCGAGCCGTAGCGGCCCGTACGGTCAGCCTGCTGTCTGACATCAGCAGGAGGTGGGACGAGATCACCGGGGCTCCGAAGGACGAGACTTGCTCGAGGAAGGGGTCGCTGCTGTGGAGCACGAGGGCGGAGGAGGCGGATGCAGGGGACGAGCTGGGGGAGTGGCGGTCAAACAGCAGGTCACCGCAAACTTTCTTGCTGGGAGGCAGCGACGTGGTGCGACCTTCGAAGTTTGCGGACGCGATCTCGTCAGAGCTCACGCATCAATCGGCCCAACTTTTCTCTCCGATGGTGAGGAAGGAGAAGAGGGGGAAAGCGGGGGAGGGAGAGGGAGGAAGAGAGAGGGGACGAGGGAGGGAGAGAAGTGGAGGTGGGGGGAGGAGGGGAAGGGGTAACGGGGAGGGAGCGAGGGAGCGAGGGAGCGAGGGAGCGAGGGAGCGAGGGAGGGAGGGAGGGAAGGAGAGGAGATTGACTGAGTTTTCAAATAGGCTTATCAAGATGTTTTCACAAAAGAAAGTTACTTGTGAGATGACAAGACTTGACGATACATGCTCTGCCTTCTACCTCCTCCCTCCTTTCCCCCCTCCTCCCCTCTTTCTATCCCCTTCCTCCTACTGTCTCCCCTCCCCTCTTCTACCCGCATCTCACATTCGTTTGCAATGAATTTGCTTTCTTGCTTTATTCTTGTACCCTTCTCTCACAATGGCCTTGTGTTCTCCTTCAACCACTCAAGAGCAATCTTATCCTCCTCCTGCATATCTCGTCACTCCTCCTCCTCCTCGTCATCATCATCATCATCATCATCATCATCATCATCATCATTATCATCATCATCATCATCACCTTCTGGAGGAAAGGTGACACTGAATCCCAAACAGTTTTGTGGTAGCTGTTGAGATATTCCTTCTCCTGTAGCTCCCTCTCAGAGCGGCAGAGCAAGGAGACAAAAGTTACCTGGCTCGAGAGCATGTCCGCAACGATCAGCTTGCGTTGGAAGGGGATGAGAGTGAGAGGAACGAAGTGAAGGATGTCAACGTTGGAGCCAAGTTTGTGCTGCTTCTCAGTTAGGAGAGGAGAAAAGGAGGGCAGGGAGAGGGGGAGGAGGAAGGGGACGAGGAAGGGGACGAGGACGAGGACGAGGACGAGGACGAAGAGGACGAAACATTGTGGACCTGGCCGTTCTTCTTCTCTACCAACATGATGTTTTCGAGTCGAATTCCGTAATTTCCCTCCTCTGTCTGAATGTGTCAAGAATCCGATACCAGCAAGGAAAGGAGGGGAGGAGGAGAGAAAGGAGGACAACCGGTCAACTGAGGAGAAGCAAATACTTGCTTCCTTCTTTCCAATCGACCTCTCACTTCCTCCTC